TGCCGCTCTGATAGAGCCGAAGGGCCCCATTGTTCAGGGAGATGGGTAAGTGGGCCCTGGTGTTATTCACCTTCATGGTGAGAAAGAAAGGGCAAAGGTCACAATTGAGTGCAACAGTCTGTCATTTGCAAAGTGGCCCCTACTCAGATTAGCAAGGGGTGCAACCTGGACCCAGATCTCTCAGTGAATCTGGACCCAAATCTAAACCAGAATTACTTTAAAACATCATATTAAATAGAGCTGGGTGGAGAAATGTAATTCTTTTTGGAGGATTTCAATGTTTTGAAAGTTGTTTAATAATGGAACCACACTTTCAAAAGTCGAGACTGGGATCCTAAATTCTTAACTTTCCTGCACAGTAAAAATCATGGTTTTAATAAAGACACTGGCGTTACAGATTATTACAGCAATCTGTAACTCAATAACCCACCCTTTTTGTCCTATGATGTCAGTGGGTTTAACCACTTATGCTAAACAATCTGTTCCACCTTGTATTTAGCTATGACACTCGTAGGTCGTCTACATTTGGAAAGCTGCAGCTGTGGAAAATCCACACCCGTGAGCAATGCAGTTATACTGACCTATCCCCCGGTGCAGGTAGTGCTATGTTGATAATTATTTACTGTAGACACTTACATAGGTAGGTCGAGGTCAACTGCTTTGCATTGACCTAGGACTGTAGTGTAGAGTGGGTGGAGTACCTTCTTCAACAAGAGAACCTGTCCTGTCGGCCTAGGTAGCATCTTCACTAGGCGCTACAGCTGTGCAGCTGCACTGGTGCAGCTCTGTAAGTGTGGACAAGCCCCTCCGATGGCTTAACTACATTGCTCAGAGTGCGGATTTTTCACGCCCCTGAATAGGTGCCGACTCCGTGGGTGCTCTGGGGCTGGAGCACACATGAAAAATAAATAGTGGGTGCTGAGCACCCACTGGCAGCCCTGTGTATCAGCTCCTCCCCCTCCTTCCCAGTGTGTCCTGCCTACCGAGATCAGCTGTTCTGCGGTGTGCAGCAGACGCTGGGGAGGGAGGGGGAGGAGCGGGGGTGGAAAGGGTTGCAGAGGGGGTAGGGGCTTGGGGGAAGGGGTATAGAGTGTTTGGAGCACCCCCTGGGAACCAAAATTTGGTGCCTATGTGCCCCTGAGCGACACATCTGGGTCAATCTAATTCTCTAGCATAAACCTGAAGAAGAGCTCTGGGTAGCTGGAAGACTTGCCTCTTTCACCAACAGAAGTTGGTCCAATAAGAGACATTTCCTCTCCCACCTTGTCTCTCTAACACCCTGGGACCAGCATGGTGACCACGATACTGTAAACAGTTCAAAGGTTGGAATTTTGAGGGCGAGGGGGCCGCATCAGTTAGAGCCATTTGGAAGTGGCTACAGGGAGGGAGCTGTCACCTAGAGCCATTAGGGAGCAGCTCCTGCAGGGGAGGGGGCCACATCTCAGGTTGCCAATTTTCTAATTGCAGAAAACTGAACACCCTTGCTCTGCTCCCTGCTCTGAGGCCCCACCCCCTCAGAGGCCCCGCCTCCGTTCACTCCATCCTCCCTCCCTCTGTCGCTTACTCTCTTCCATCCTTGCTCACTGACTGATTTTCATCGGGCTGGGGCAGGGGGGTTCGGGTGCAGGAGGGAGTGAAGGCTATGGCTGGGGATGCGGGCTCTGGGGTGGGTCTGGGTGTGACGTTCCCCTGGTGTTATCCGGATTGGTGATCTGCTAGGTCACTCGAATCCTTGACTCTGGGACCAACCTTACCCTGCTCTGCTGTGAGAACCCCTACTCCTGGGCTGTTCATGCACAGCCTCTGGTTGGGATTAGGTCCTGCTTTGAGCAGGGGGTTGGACTAGATGACCTCCTGAGGTCCCTTCCAACCCTGATATTCTATGATTCTATATAAACTGCTCCTTGGATTGTGCAACCGAATGACACTGGACAATATCTCCGGTCCCAGACACAACCCTAGGAACCTCTCTCTTGCAGTGTCCAGTTATCCCCACTGGACGCTGCAAGCTTATATGAGCTCATCAATTTAACAAAGAAATTAATATGTCCCAGGCTTGTTATCCCAAGGGGAGTCTCTGACACGCTTCAAACCAAACGCACTGCTTCAGGTAGAATAAACAAACAAATTTATTAACTACAAAGGTAGATTTTAAGTGATATTAAGTGATAGGCAAAAAGTCAGAGTGATTACCAAAATAAAATAAAATATAAGCACACAGTCTAAACTCTCAACCCTATTAGACTGGGCAGCATCTAGATTAAGCAGTTTTTCACACCCCACTGGATATTGCAGTCCTTAATATACAGGTTTGTTCCTTAAACCTGGGCCTATCTCCTCTGTTGGAGTCTTGTATTCTTCTCAGTGTCTTAGGTGCTTGCAGGGAAAGTGAGGGCAGGAAAAGGACCCAGTGTGTGTCCACTCTGTCTGTTTTATACCCTCAGTCCATGTGTTTGGGGAGCACAAGTCCAGGCATGTCTGGGGAGCATTGCTGAGTCTCTCCAAGCAAGGCTGAGCAATTTCCCTTGTATGGCCTCATACAGGTGAGTCATTGCATTGTAGCTCCCTTGCTGGACAATAGTTGTTGATGGGCTGTTTAACACCCCGCCCAGGCATTGGTTATTTTCCTTGCTGTTGCCTCTGTGGAGCTAATATGTGGCTGATTCCCTAAGTTACAGCATGTTTCAGTGACCACCATATAACACAATTCTCATAACTTCATATGCATTAATGATACACATCTATGGATAGAGAAATGACTTTCAGCAGATGATGACTTTTCCCCGGATACCTTACTAGGCACGCTTTATATGTAAGATCACGATCATATGAAAATGAGGAATATGGGGGTTACAGTATGCTCCCCCAAGGAATAGAATGTAACACCAGAGATGAGGGATTTGGGGTGCAGAAGGGCTGGGGCGCAGGTGTTCGGAGTGTGGGAGGGGGCTCTGGGCTGGGACAGGGGATTCAGGTGCAGGAGAGGGTGAGGGCTCCATCTGGCAGTGCGGATTCTGGGGTGGGGCCAGGGATGAGGGGTTCAGGGTGTGGGAGGGGGCTCCAGGCTGGGGCGGGGGTTGGGATGCAGGAGGGGTTGTGGTGTGTGGGCTCCGGACGGCGCTGACCTCAGGCAACTCCGGTATTTCCCAGGGATGGAGGAAGGCCATGTCACGCCCAGGAAGTGGCGGCATGTCACAGGGTTCCGTGTGGTGTCCCCGCCTGCAGGCCAGGGGGCTCCGTGCACTGTTCCCACCCGCAGGCCCTGCCCTTGCAGTTTCCATTGGCCACAATTCCTGGCCAATTGCAGCTGGAGAGCCGGTGCTCGGGGCAGCGCCTGCTGGCGAGGGCAGTGGGCGGAGTCCCCCTTGCTGCCCCTCTGCGTAGGAGCCGGAGAGACATGCCGGCTGCTTCCTGGGAGCTACGCTGAGCTGGGCACGGTGCCTGCCTGCCCCTCTGTGGCCAACCGGACTTTTAGCAGTCCGGTCAGCTGTGCTGACCAGAGCCGCCAGGGTCCCTTTTCGACTAGGTGTTCAGATTGAAAACCAGACGCCTGGCAACCCTAGAGTGTCCGTTAGAGCTGTTAGGGAGCGGCGCCTGCAGGGTTGAGGGCTGTGTTTGTTATATTCATTAGGGAGCAGCTCCGGGGATAGGGCCACATCAGTTAAAGCCATTGGAGAGTGGCTCCTGCGGGAGAGGGGCCCACATTGGATAGAGACGTTAGGGAGCAGCTCCGGGGAGGGACGCGTTGGATAGACCCATTAGGGAGCAGCTCCATTGAGGGGGAAGGGGCTGTGTCAGTTAGCGTCATTGGCGAGTGACGCGATTCCCGGGGGGGTTGTTTTGACCCTTTTCTCTGACTCCTGGTTCCTGACTCCAGATCTGGCTACTAGCCCTGACTGCCACTGCTCCAGCCAGTACGTCTGAACACCCACGTCCCAGTTGCTGACATTAGTGCCAAGCACAGAGCTTTGAAATTGGGTCAGCGCCCCCTGCTGGCCACCTGCACCATTCTATGGCACACAGCACCTGGTATTGCCATGATGAGAATTGGGATCAGCACCGACTTCAAGGGGAGAGTGTGCCCTACTGGGATACCTGTACATCTGAACGTACTACAGCACCCCCTAGTACAGTGCCGTGGCTTCAGGGACAGCACCAATTCAGGAGGAGAGCACCCTCTACTACTTAAACAATTCTACCCCCTGCAACACCTTGGGTAAATGTTTTTAAGGTATCCTAAGTACTGACCACACCCAGCACTTACCCCCACAAAGCCAACCTCAGCCCTGGCTGCTGTGATGGTGACTCCATCCACCTGGACAGTTACCGACCCAATGTAGAAGACCTGTGTGTTCCCCCTGTTCTCGATCTTGGCCGTGACATGGAAGGAGGGCAGGACGGAGTCATCCCTGCAGGTCTTGGCCACCGTGTAGTTGCAGGTGCCGTGGAAATCATACTCCCGTCCATCGAAGGTGTGGTAATGCAAGTAACCCCCAGCCCAGCACGTGGCCTGAGAGACTGGCACACACTCTGGCTGCCCATTTATCATCTTGCAAATAGTTCCTTCTCTGCAGTGGACAACACTGCAGGATGGAATAACTAGTGGGGAAAGACAATAGAAAGACAAGAGACACCAGACTAATCAGTTATATATGAGAGCAGAGAGCGGGCTGAGGGTGGTGTGAAAATTGGGATGAAATTTAATGTCATTGGAATCCTTCTTCTTAATATAGCCTGTTTGTGAAATGGACCAAATGATCTATCTATCTATCCATCCCCATACACATTTCCGTTGTACACTTCCCAAACCTCCCACAAGTCTCTCTGCCTGGGAAATCTCTCTGCATGGATGAGACCATAGCAGTCTTTGAGCCAGCAGAGCCAGCTCCTATGTCACCCTCCCCACAGCCTCTAGTATAGGTGGTGAACACAGAGGGCCATGTGACAGGGAGTATGGAGCAGAGCCTTGCAATGCAACCCAAACCTCATGGGAGCCGACTACAAGTGTCATGTCCGGGGCAGGTGGAATAAGAAATCAACTGAACCCTCTTGGGCTTGGGTCAAGTCAGCTGTTCTCCTGCCTGTAGGTAGGGTTGCTAGGTGCCTGGTTTTCGACAGGAAAGTCTGGTCGAAAAGGGAACCTGGCTGTGTCCGGTCATCACTGCTGACCGGACACTAAAAGTCCAGTTACCTGCAGTAACTAGCTTCTGTCACCCGGCATCCTGCCCCGAGCATGACTCTCCCTCACCCACCCTGCCCCAGTCATCCCCTCACCCCTGGAGTCCTGCTCTCTCTCCAACGCCCTGCCCCACTCACCCCTCCACCCCTAGAGCCCTGCTCAGCTGTCAGGGGGAGAGTGGTAGAGAGAACAGTGAGTGAAAGTGGGTGGGGAAAGAGGAGCGGGGGACAGGGCCTTGAGGGAAAGAGGTGGAGCAAGGGGCAGGGCCTTGGGGGAAGAGGTGGAGCAGGGGAGGTTCCGGCACTCAGTGTCCAGTTTTCACAAATGAGAGAGTTGGCCACCCTACCTGTGGGGTCAGAGCGGAGGTGGCTGCATGCCCAGCTCCTACTAGCACTGCCATCTGGCTGCCTTATGCATACGGTGGAGTGAGGGAGCTGCCCCAGAGTGCACACACTGCAGCCAGGGATGGCAGATGGCAGGAACAGGGTACATAACAACCGCCGTGCCAACCCCATGGGCGGGAGGTGGCCGTGGCGCTTATTCGGTTTCATGGGAAGAGTCAGGCTGGGTTGGAAAATGACGTGACCTTCTCGGGCTTGGGCTCCTCAAAAATTAGGCCCAAGCAGACCTCTAGCGTGGAGAAGGCAAGGAGAGTGGCTGGGAGGTGATGGGCTCTGACACTGCACAGCTGACTGATGGTCCCTATGGGACTGTATGTAGCCAGGGTGTTCTGTTTATAGCAGCCCCCAGGCTGCGCCCGGGGAGAGAATCATGGAGTGTGCTCAGCTCCCTGACAGTTGCCCACCCGACTCTGCTGGAGAGACCCAATAAGTCTTCCCATCTTTCCAGTCAAAATGTTGTACTATTAGGGGTCAGAGTTCCAGGCTAAATGAACGGGGGGAGCGAGTGAGAAGGGTCAGGAGACATAACCACAGTTGCTTACTCGCTGCCTGTACAATAACCCTTCAGGGCATGTTTCAAACAATGACTGTCCTGTACCTTTGCTGATGCAGCCCCTGAGGCCATCTCTAATCTGGCAGATTTCTTCTTGGGAGCAGCCGTGGGCTTTACAAGTCACCCCTCGAGCAGGAACGCAGGTGCAGCTTTGCTGGCACTCGTTCGTCAGGACCGTCTCATTGGCCTGATGGAACGTTTGGAAAACAGGAAATAACAGAATATAACTGGAAATGATTATTTAAAATATTTTTTGACGGCGCTAAATCCAGAGCTCTGGATGTGTTTTTCTAACAGATGTGCTCTCGAAATCACATTGGGGCAGGTCTCTGGCTTGGGTTATACAGGAGGGCAGACTAGATGATCACAATGGACCCTTCAGGCCTTAGAATCTATGTATCTATAAAAATGTCCATTGTGTCATAATATTCATAGAATCATAGAATATCAGAGTTGGAA